ACTTAAAAACTTCTACTGAATTCTATAAACTTCTACCAAGTTTAATCTATACTTAAAAACTTCTAACCCACTCTAGCTAATCTCTTCTAGTGCTTAACCACCCTCATAATTAGAAAGTTCCTCCTAATATCCATCCTAAATCTTCCTTGTTGCATTTAAGCCCATTACTTCTTGTCCAGCCTGCTCTATGGACACAAACAGCAACTGAACATCATCCTCTTTTTACGTTTGAAGGCAGCTACTTACTGTCCCCTTACTCTAAGGTTATGGACAGGCATTACATTTCTAGTAAGAAATATGCCCTTTTAGTTCTGTAAAAAAAGTAACTGTACAGGTGTTCCAGCAGCTTTTTGGGGAAAATTCATGGTAGTTCCAGGAAGAAATGATAGCTTTTTACAACACAACTTCTTGGAAGTGTGTCAATTTTTAATGGCTGTTTTTCCCCCCACTTCTGAACCTTTGTGAGGCAAACGTGATTAGCCACTACCCAACAAATACCAAAGGTACTGCAGAAACAAAGGTCACCAATTAGCAACTTGTGGATTAGGAATTTACGCTCATGTCCAGGTCCTTCAAAAATTGACTGTCAGTTTCTACAAGCAGCATATGCCATAGACAAGGTGAAGAGGAGACTCCTGAGGCTGCTCCTGAGGCAATGTCAGAGCTGGAGGGGGGATTGCATGGCCAGGAGGTCCACGTGTGCTTGCTGTAGAGTCTGGCTGCCATAAAGACCATAGCTAGGGCAAAAGGGAGTCCCTGTACCCTCCCCTCCTAAAATGGAGACACTGATGGAGCCCTTCCCCTAGCACCTACCTCTTGCAGATTGACAAACCAGGTGAATCTCAGTACCAGCATCCACTGTATAGCCAGGAACACTGTGCAAAATGCCTTCCCTATCATGGACTTGCCTACAGCAAAGGGGTTGGTGACCAGAGAGCACGTGGCCAAGGCCTCAGTCAGTGCACATCATCTCACACACGAGCTTTGTAAGCTCTCAGAAGCAGCAGTGGCAGGCTTTGACTCTGTGCCAGTAGGAGGACAGTATGCACTGGACTTAAGGAAATTCCAGGTCTTCTTTGTATTCATTTCCTGGTGGATGCAGTTCCCTGGGTGGCCAGTCAAACAGCATGTTTCTCTGTGCTTGGCTGTCCACAGGAACCTCAGCAGATGAGAGCCCCATAAAGCAACCTTAGATCTCTGTGTACTGGCCCTCTAGTTGCAGACACTGCAAATGAACTCCTTTCTATAACGTAAACAAGATTAAATAATCCCAGTTCCTGAAACTCTTCCTCAAATGTCATGTTTTCTAAACGTCTAATAATTTTTGTTTTTTCTGATGAAGTCCTTTCAACATGTCCATACCCATCTTAAAATGCGGTGCCCAAAGCTGAATATGGTACTTCAAGAGAGGCCTCATCAGTGCTGAACAGAGTAGATTAAACACTCCCTGTGCCTCCTGTTAGTAAATCCAACTATGCTATTAGATTTTTTGGAACAACATTAGTCATCTTATATTCACTTTGTGATCCACTTCCTCTCAGTACTCTACATTGGCTGTTGCTTCCCATCTGCAAGTTGATTAGAAATTAATAGTTCGGTAATATGCTCCAGTATATTTTCAGGTATCCAAGTTAATCGGCGCATTCTGTAATTCCCTGTAATTATCATTCTGTAATTTATTTGACCTCCTGGGTCAAAGAAAATAGCCAATGGTTCTTCAAAGACAGTAGTCAATGGCTCTTCAATTACTTTCACCAGCTCCTTGAGTATCAAGGATGAATCTCATCAGGCCTTGCAAATTTGAAAACATCTAGTTTATTTTAATAATCCCTAACTTGTTCTTTCCCTTCTCCAAGGTGAGTACTTAATACCTTGTCCTTGATGCTAATTGTGTTTGCCATTTGACAATTGACCTTTTTTGTCAAAACTGAAGTAAAGAAAATTCATTAAACACCTCAGCCTTCTTCCCATTGTCAATGATTAGCTTCCCCTCCTTCAGAAGGGGAAGCTACATTTTCCTTGGTGTCCCTCCTACTGTTAACCTTTAAAAATGCTTTTTGTGTCCTTGGCTAGCTGTATCTCAGTTTGTGCATTGGTCTTTCTCAGTTTGGTTTTATATGCTATACTGTACTCTTACGTTCATCCTTGGTAATAAGAAAAACCTTGGGAACATTTTGTTCAAATGACTGTGAAATGTGGTCTACCAGTGTATCTTATAAGGCATGCCGAATTTCCATTGCAGAGTCAAACTTTAAACCAGAAAGGTCTCTTAATTTTAAAATATTAGAACTGAGGCCTTGGTAAAATAATAGTTACATTTTCACAGCTATGTATGTGATAACAAAGCAGCATTGCATCTTCACAACACAACAGTAGTGCTTTTGGGCATACAAACATGCCACAACACTCTGGAAGAAAATAGGTAGGGACCTACCTGAATTGCAGCAGAAGTTCACAATGCAGTGGTGTATTTAATTTTTCTTTTTTCACCGCATGCCCCCCTCCCACTGAGTGGTTGAGAGGCAAAAGCCTCTCATTAATTGACTGTTGGCCACCCAACTGCTTTTTAATGGTCTTCATGTTCCATTAATCAAGTTATCCTTTCATCTGCAATTTTAGTGTTGGTTAGCCATTCCTGATGACATCCCTCTTGTTTCACAGCCCTGCAGATCCTTCTTCGTCCTAGCTAAAAACCTTAACTCAGGTGAACATTAACTCAAGTGTGGAAATGACTGACAGTGAAGTGTTGGATGCACTGTCAAGATGCTCAAAAATGGTAATTTTGTTTTACGATTCTGAAAAAGAGATGTACGCTCTAATAACTACAAGACTAACAAAACAATATCTTTTGAGTACTTTGCCTTGTTAGCTGTGTTTTTCAACCTTTAAATCTACAAACAAGTGCACCATCCAATAAAGTCATATTTATTTTTTTCTTTGATCTCAAATTGAATACTATAACCCTAGGCCCCTAGCATATTGTAAAGCTTCTAGTTTCTTTTCACCTGGAGAAAAAAAAAAAGTGTTGCGTTATATGTAGGCAACTTTCTTTGGGTAGATGCAATAATCTTTTATTAGACCAACTGAGTAGTTGAAACGACATTCTTTGCAAGCTTTTGGGCACAAGTGCCCCCCTTCAGGCATAGGGAGACTCTGCTGCTGTTCTGAGATATATGTGATACAGTATTGCAACTAGTGTGATTTTTGGCATCGTTCTTAAAGCCTACGCTTCAGGAATGTGAAAACCTTAGCTTTTATAGATGTATAGATGTTAGGGACTGGAAGGTATGTTACAAGATCACTGGGTCCAGCTCCCCTGCATTTGGGCAGGAAACACTACTGGGCTCAGGGAACACTAGCAGGGTGGGCATCAAGATATCCTCATGGTAAAATTGGAAAAACGTGGCCTCAATTACTTTACGGTCCAGTGGCTAAGTAACTGGCTCTGAGGTAGGACCTAGAGAGTATTAATAGACAGAACTGAGTCAACATGATTCCTGTCCCCTCAACACTTTCCTGCCTCTTGTCTCCTCTCCTGTCCTCTCACAGTCAGCAAGGAGACAGACTTTATATATATAAAAGAAAGAGCTAAGTTTTTTTTCACATTCCTGAAGCATCGACTTTAAGAACAAAGTCATTCTTGGTGAAGCCACAGCTGGACCACTGCATCCAATTCTGGGCCCCACAATTTAGGAAGGACTTGGAGAAGCTTGAAAGAGTCCAGAGGAGAGCCATGTGCATGGTTAGCGGTCAAGAGGGTAGGCCTTATGAGGAGAGGCTGAGAGGCATGGGACTCTTCAGCCTGGAGAAGCAAAGGCTCAGGGGTGACTTGGTGGCAGTCTATAAGTATATATGTAGTGTGCATCAGGAATTGGGAAAACATCTGTTCACCAGAGCGGCCCATGGGATGACAAGGTCTAACAGTCACAAACTGCTGGAAGATTGTTTTAGCCTAGACATAAGAAAAAACTTCTTTATCATCCAAGTCTCCAGAGTCTGGAATAGACTCCCCCCAGCAGGGGTGCAAGCACTAACTCTGGATACCTTTAAGAAACACTTGGATGCTTATCTTGCTGGGGTGATTTGACCCAGGCTGACTTCCTGCCCCTGGGGCAAGGGGCTGGACCCAATGATCTCGCCAAGTCCCTTCCAGCCCTAACATCTATGAAACAATGCCAAAAAATCATAATAGTTGGCACTACTGGTGATACTGCACCCACCCACCTGCACCCTTTTTTTTAGGCCCTAGATCCCTTTTTTTTTAAATTAAGTTTTCCACATTCCAAGCGAAATGAGCTGAAACAAATTCAAATCCAAGAGCCAGTCCAGAACCATAAGTGGCCCTACTACCGGCAAACATCCCCCACCCCCATCTGGGGCTTCAGACTTTTCCAAAACCTCTGGTGGGCATCCTACTTGCAGGCCTAGGCCTGTAGGCTTGGGTTCAGATGCCCCCGAGTTTTGATTGCCCTTAGCCCATAAGTTCCCAGGGGCAAGCCAGGGAGGAGTCTCCCATTTCTGTAAAGCAGGCTTAAAGCCAAGACCTTTCCACTCCAGCAGCTCCGTGGGAGGTTTACTATACATTACCTTGGCAGGTACTATCCCTGTGCCAGGACAGCGGTCTTCCCGGTGCGACTAGGAGGACCGCCTCCGTGGTCATGGCAATTCCCTTGCCAGGTAAGCATGGACTACGCTGGATCTGAGCCCACAAGCCAGTCCCCATCCCTTTGCAAACCAGCAGGCTTCTTCAGCTCCACTTGGCCTCTCACTTTCCCAGGCACAAGCAGTCAGTGGCTTGATGCTGTCAGTGCACTGGGGGGATTTCAACTCTCCTGGCCAGATTAAAGCCCCCTTCACCTCCCTTTCCTCTTCCTCCTCCTCCTCCCATCTGGATTGAGCAGCCTCCATCTTGGCCGACTCTCTAGCCCGGCTGTTTACCTCTCTATGCTCCCCCTCTCCCTCCTCCCCCCTCGTCATTGTCTGTAATAGACGACGCAGTAGCGAGCAGCAACGTGCAGCAGCAGCGGCGGCGGCGGCAGCAGCTCTTTCTCTTTATAAGCCCCGCTGTATTGCCCGGATGTGAATGGATTACAATGTATCTTTCAGGGAAACATATTATTATCAATGTCTCCATGGGGGAGTCGATGAGGAGGAGGAGAGATCTATAAACTTGGAGCAAGTTTAAGACTTTTTTTTTTAAAGAAGGACAGAGGGGGGGAAAAAAAAATCCCACCACCACCACCACGATTTTTCAGTAGTTTATTAACAGAAGCATGTGTTTATAAAAAACAATAGAGGGAAAAGTTGTTGGATCTTTTAAAACAATTTTTTTCCCTTTTTTTTGTTTTTGTTTTGTTTTTTACTTCCCCTGCCGGCTTTTATTTTTGTTCTGTTTGGGTGGGGGATTTTATGGCAGTTATTTTACGGTGGATCATCCAAAAAAGCCAAACAAAGCCAGGTGTAGAGTTGTGTGGAATAACCCTGGAACAGGACTGAGATCCAGTTCAAAGTACTTTTTTTTTTTTCCTTTTTTTCCCCTTTTTGTTTTTTTTTGGTGTGTGTTTTTGGGGGTGAAACACATGTGAAACAATAAAGCACTTTTGAAGAAGATTTCTCTCTCTCTTCTTAAAAAAAAAAAAGTCTCTTTTTCCTTGGAATATTGTGAACATATTTGTGGCCATTTAAGGTAAAGTTACAATTTGCTGTTAGAGTAACTTGTGTGCTTTTCTTTTATGATGATTGTTGTTGATGCTGATCCCAGTGTGTTATTTTTTTTTGAAAGAGCTACAACTTACTGGCTGTGGCAATGCAAAGTGGACTTGCACCGTGTGTGTGTCGAGATGCACACACCTATGGAGGGTGCATCTCTGCATACAGACACAGTGCAACTACCTGGATGGGCTAGAATAACATCTTGTGCAAACCAGAAGTGCAAGGGGGTTATAATAAGAGCTTGTGCAAGCGAGAAGTGGAATGAACTTGCTGCTTGATTTCCTGCTAGAAATGAAGTCAACCCGTAGGCATCTTTTTAATTTTTTAAATTTTTATTTTTTGTGAATAGCTGGGGCCTGCAGTCGCAAAATTGGAAATAAAAGTCTGACCTGCTTCAGGGGCTGAGTGGGAGCGGGTGTGTGCGTGTGGGAGGGGGGACCTGGCATCGTCCCCAGCAACTTCAGTGCAAAGCCAGGGACAAGGTGGCTAGTGCAAAGTTTGCAGCAATGCTCTCTGGCCGGGGGAAGCCTGGGCTCTGAAATGTAGCGCTAGAGCAAGAGGGGGGGGGGAAAATCACAAACAAACCAAAACAGAAAACGAAAAAAGAAGAAGCAAAGGTGGGGGGAGAAGCCTCCACCCGTGAACTGGATAATACGAGTGGGGGGAAATATTGTTCCTCTTGGCAAAGTCTTTGCATCACGTGCATTTGCAGCCTCGTATAAACTTGCTTTGCCGTGTGTGTGTGCGTGTGTGTGTGTGCGCGTGTGTGTGTGTGCGCGCGCGAGCGGACGAAATGTAAAGTATAATCCATCCCCAAAGTGCTCCGAAGTGGGAGGCAGGCGGCAGTCCCGGCCCCGGCTCCCGAGCCGCCCGTCGGCAGCCCCGCCCCCGGCTCCCGAGCCGCCCGTGCTGCAGGAAAATGAGGCGCCGGGCTGCGGGGTGCTGCGGGGAGCGAGCCGCCGCCGGGTCCCCCGTGCTTTGCTGAACTTGCAGCCCGGCTCGTTTTGGTTTGTTTGTGGCTTTTTCTTCCTGCCTCCTTCCCTCCCTCCCTCCCTCCCTCCGGCCGGCTCCGTCGGTGGGCATGGTGGAGGTAAGCTCGGCTCGGCTCGGCTCGGACAGGACTTGCCTGGCTCCACACGCACCCCCACCCCCAATGGGGGGCTGCCAGCTCGAGAGATCCCCCCCTTCCCTTCCTCCTCCCCCACTTCAAAGGAACTGATGACTTAGCCGAGGCCTGGGCTTGCTTTTTTTTATTATTATTATTTTGAATTCATTTTTGCAACCCGCCTGTCTTGCAGGGATCGGGGCTTTGGGAGAATTGGCAAAGCCTGATTTGTCTCCCCCTTCCCCCCCAGCTCCGACGTCCCCTTGCACCGCACTCTGCAGCCTCGGGGTGTCTTCGCCCGCTCCCGTGCATGGCAGGAGGGGAAGGAGAAGGGGGGAGGAAAAAAAGTTGGTAGTTTCTTCTCTGGGCTTCTCATTCATTCTTTGCTGAACCTCCTGTTGCATAAATGATGCGCTGAGAGCGTGGCTCTCTCTCTCTCTCTCTCTCTCTCTCTCTTTCCCCCCCACCCCCCTTCTCTCCTTCGGATTTGGGTTGAGAGTGGATGTGACCGGGTTTCCATCGTCTCTTTGGAAATACAATATCGCTTTTTTTGTTGTTGTTTTTGCTGCCCCTC